TGACAAAAGCGGAGGAAATTTCATTTGTGACTGCTGCACAATTTTTCTTCTATGATATTCTTTTTCAGCGCACTGATTTCAGCCAAAAATGGTGAAATTTAGCCTCCCTGAGGTTAACATCAACTGTACCGAGGGAACCCAAGTCAGATTTAAACTCCACAACCTTCCTTGTTCTTCGTCTCTTTCAGTTCCATTCAACGAAAACTAAGTTCAAAACCCAGAAAAGAATTTTGAAAAGAAGGAAAATTGAAGGCTGAACATGAAATCTATGGTGTTTTCAGCCTTCAAACTATCACATTGGAGATGGGTTTTCTTGTTTATGTTTTCTGTGTTCATTTCTACCTCTTTCTCTGATCCAAGAATCACAAACGCCGGGCTTTTCTGCGGCGATTCCCAGGCGCCAAACGGGACGAACTACGTTCCGGATTTCACTGAATTGATGAGACAGTTGTCAAATCAGATCAACAATAATATATTTGCTTCTTATCATCTCAACTCTACGCCTCCAATGTATGGATTGGCTCAGTGCCATGGAGATTTGGACCAAACGGATTGCCTCCTTTGCTATGCCGAGGCAAGGACTCGAATCCCTCGTTGCCTCCCTCGCTCGGCTCGAATCTTCCTCGATGGCTGCTTCTTGCGTTACGATTATCACCGGGATTTCTTTCACGAATCCGTTTCGTCGACTTTCGATACCGTTAATTGCAGTTCCAATAATGTAACGATGGTCGGTCAAGATAACAACAGCAGGAGGATTTTGTTCGGTAGAAACGTTGACCATGCGGTCTGGAATGTGACGAGTATTGCTTTGAGAAGAAATGGATTTGGGGCGGTCGGGTTGGATGGGGTGTATGCATTGGCGCAGTGTTGGGAGAGCCTTACGCCGGCGGAGTGTCGGCAGTGCCTGCAGAAGGCGGCGGAGACGGTGAGAGGATGTGTGCCCAAGGAAGAAGGGAGAGCTTTGAATGCTGGGTGCTATTTGAGGTACTCCACAAATAGGTTCTATAATGATGGGGCCGATTCTGATGGTCATCATGGTAAGTGTTTTGCCTTTTGTTTTTCTTTTTGAAGATACTGAGCTTGATTTTAATGAAGAAATGGACTGAATTTATGTAGAATGATTTTGGCTCAAGTGTAGGATATGTGTTTGATAGAGTATCTTAAACATTTTTTCCAGGATTTAGAGGGTGATTTGAGATTGTTTTTAACTGTTCTACAGTAGATTCTGCAATTCATTTTAGATTATTTTGTTGGATTTAGCCTTTTTTATGTATTCTGTTGATATCTGGTTGGTTGCTGGATTTCCTGCTGGAACCACTGGGATTGTTTGGTGGTTTTGTTTGAGATTGTCATAGAGACATAGCTGTATCGATGTAAGGATTTTTGGAGTAAAACAATATTATTCGCTTCGGATATACGAAAATTTTGTACGGTTTCGTCTTTCGAACATGTGCTGTGGTAGGGGAAGTGCGGTCCTTATCTTTGAGGCTAGTTTTGAGAGGAAAACAATTCTAAATCAACTAGTGTCGTCCTTTCATTTTCTTGAAGACGGAAACCCGAAACCATAAAAACCGTCTTTACCTCCAAATCAAATAATGGCTCATAGCTGGTGCAGTTCGAATGTCAAGTCGACAAGTTTGAAATTGTATTTCACTTCCTAGTTGAATTACAATGTATTCCTTTTCTATTTTTTCAGGGCTCTCAGTTGGAGTCATTATAGCAATTGTATCCGCATCATCTGCATTCTTAACACTCGCTGTTGCAGCAGCTTATGTTGTATATGCAAGATTATCGAAGAGGAAAAGAGGTACAAAATTACAAAGTTAATCTTAAAAAAATTGCACTGAAAATTATATATCAATGGTGTTCATGTCCAATTTTATGCATTAGTCCTCTGTTCTATATTAACCGTCAAATTTTCCCAGAGCTCGAAAATCTAGGCCGGATTTCAAAAAGGTTTGACAGATCGGGTTTGAAGTTCAAGTATGAAACTCTTGAGAAAGCAACTGATTATTTCAGTCCTTCAAGGAAATTAGGACAAGGAGGTACTGGTTCGGTGTTCATGGGGATTCTTCCTGATGGAAAAATTGTAGCTGTAAAGAGATTGATATATAATACGAGGCAATGGGTGGACGACTTCTTTAATGAAGTAAATTTGATCAGCAGAATTGAACACAAGAATCTGGTGAAGCTTCTTGGTGCTAGCATTGAGGGACCTGAAAGTCTCCTGATCTATGAATATGTGCCCAACAAGAGCCTTGATCAGTTCATTTTCGGTATGTTTTGCTCTTTAATCAATTTGCCTTTAGTTTTTCTCCTTTATTGACATATTTAGACTGATTTTTATAACTTTGAATCTGTTGTTGGTGGCAACATTGTGAAGTTTTCCATTCCAGAGCTTAAATTACAGGCTTACAGCCGTAGATTTGTTTTCGATCATCGTGTTGTAACACTGTTTGAATCTCTCTGCCCCATTCTAAGACTCGAGGGATTTAAAGCACTGTCAAATTAACATAAACATAATCTTGCAGCTCATGTAATCCCACTCCTTGTTACTTCGATTTTCATTTTTTCTTGAATTCATTTATCGGATACATCTTTGGACATGGGTATATGATATGACCCTCCTAATAATACATGGATGAACTTCAAAAGATTTAATATGCCTATGTCAAACACAGATTGTATTCCACACTCATGTCTAATTATATGTCTAAAACAGATAATATGAGAAAAAAAATGAAAAATTGGAGCAATTCTGGAAAATGGTGGGGAACAATTAACTTCTGTGCCTATCTCATATGTGTGGATGATTTCCTTTTCAAATGCAGATGAGGAGAAATCAAAACTTTTAAAATGGAAGCAGAGGTTCAATATCATCACCGGAACAGCTGAAGGTCTAGCTCATCTTCATGGGGAAGGTTCTCATGTAAGGATAATCCACAGAGATATTAAGTGCAGCAATGTTCTTTTAGATGAGAATCTCAATCCAAAAATTGCGGATTTTGGGCTTGTTCGATGTCTAGCTACCGAGAAGAGTCACCTTAGCACCGGGATTGCTGGAACACTGTAAGTTTACAAAAGATTTATCTGGTATTACATATGAAATTGGTTGAAAGTTTGAGCATGCACATTTAGCCATGGGGTTCGATAGATTGTAATACATTACTGTTTCCACTGAAATGATCTTAATAACTTGGTTTGAGATTTTTGTGCAGAGGATACATGGCTCCTGAATACCTTGTTCGAGGACAACTTTCTGAGAAAGCTGATGTTTATAGTTTCGGAGTACTTGTGCTTGAGATTGTATGTGGTAAAAAGAATAGCAGCTTCACAAAGTCCGGTTCCCTTCTACAAACAGTAAGCTCCCGATGTTACAACCCGGATTCAGTCATCTCATTCTCTCCTGTGTCACCGCACGTATTGTGATTTGGTTTACTACCCTCTCATACCTTCAATGTAAATGTATGAAGAGATGATGAGTTGACCTGATCCCAATATGTGCGGCGATGCAAAGAAGACGTACAAAATACAATTGTTACACCCAAATCTGAACTTTTCAATAAATTGTTTTGGATTGTTACTTTTTGCTGTTCTTAGATCATTAACTTTGAGGTTTTCAACCTCAGGTTTGGACGCTTTACAAATCGAATGCCTTGGCTGAAGCTGTTGACCCTTGCATTAGAGACGAAATGTCGGCAAAAGAGGCCCCAGGTGTGCTCCAACTTGGGCTATTATGCACACAAGCTTCAGTTCTCTTAAGACCATCAATGGCAGAAGTGGTTCAGATGTTAACTGATAAAGATTACGAAATTCCGAGGCCTAACCAGCCACCATTTCTAAATGCTAATGTGCTTGGAACAGCAACTTCATCAGGATCTTACAGCTCAGACAGTTTCATATCAAATGCTTTGAGAAAAATTCAGGGTTCTGGTACTTCCTCCGAATCTTCCAGGACTCAGTAATTCCGATGGTTCACCAAGAACAAGATTATCATTCCACGGAATTGAGATTATAATGACCGATATTCGAGTCTCTTTTTCGCGTCACTGCTCATAACCGTATGTTTTTGAGAGACCAAGGAATGTAATGTACAGTTATGACAATACCTTTGATGTAAGTACACTAGAAGACGACCATATTCCGATGAATGCGGTGGTTTGAGGAGAACACCGGTATCCCGGACATGACAGAGTTCGGATGAAGGTATAAGCTTGAATCCCAAGGATCGTGTTGTAAAAGTTTTGGAAGGTCAGATGCCAAGGTGTACTTGGTCAAAATGTGACTTATACTGTATCTAGAAATGTATCATTAGTTTCTTTTTCTTTTTTATTTCCTTTACCCCCCACCAGGATTTTCAGAACTTTTATTAAATTTTAAATTTTTGGGATTTTTCTGTTGTTTTAAATAATTATATTATGTTTTCTTGCAATTTGCAGCTTTTTTAGACCACAAAAATGAATAAAGAATTTTAATAAGATCAAGAGTCAATATCTTTGAAAGAAAAGAAAGGTGACGCTGTGAGAAATATGTTTGACCCACTGTCCAATTAAATTAATGGAGCAAATAAGGTGGTGGACAGATATTTAAATAACCTTTTGTTCTAGCTGTGGGATTTCGCTGACTTTTTTCTTTCATCCACATGGGAACATATTGTATTAGGTATTCCCTGTTGGTTTGCGGCCCCAAAAATATATTTATATACTCGTTTATAATTAAAATTAAGATAAAGTATATAAATAGTTCTCAAATGTTTAGGGAATTTATATTTTGGTCAACTAATTTTTAAAAATTATAATATAATCATCAAATTTTTAATTAGTTTGTAATTCGATCCCTGTCAGTATCCCTCTATACCTGCGGTTAGTAGAAATTGACGTGGCAAGTTAGTGTCCCGTTTTCAGCTAAAAAAATTAAAATAAAAATTCCAAACGGAATCGTATTACATTTGAGAAAAGTTAATCCTCTGGGCTCTCTTCTCCAGCACCTCCTTCTGTCCTTCACCTTTCTTCATCACCCACCCCAATGCCCACAACCCCAAACCAATTAATCCTCCTTCCGAGCGCTGGAAATAAATCGTTATATTCCTCCCCAAGATCCGCCCCATGCTCGCCAATAAATCGCTCTTCACCGGCGCTGGCAACGTCCCAAGCACCGTTTAATCGAACGTTTGAACACCATAACATAGCATTCCGTCGGATCCAGGAACCCGTTTTGTAAAAAAGCCTCATAAGGGTACTTGATCAAGGAGATATAAGTGTAACCATAGCCAGTATTTGGGTAGCCGATCTCGAGCGACGAGGAAGCCACAGAGGAAGTGAAAGTAGGAGACAATGGCGATGGTGCTAACGAAGGCGAGGAATACATCGGGTGTAAGCCTTGAAATAAAAGCCGCGAATGAACTTCCAGCCCAAAACGCAACGAGGATTGTGATGAAGAAGAATAAAAAATCGGTGACGCCGCCGGCCCAAAACGTTATCAACGATAAGGTGAGGGCAAGGCTGAATAGTAATGGAATGTGGGTAATTGAACGAGCGAGGAAATACGAGGAACGACGATAAGCGTTGTAAGCAGTTTCTCGCATGAAGATGTATCGTTCTTGAATGGAAGTGGGGACTTCGGTTATACAGTTGAAGAAGATTGTGGCAATGGAAATGGATATACACCCTAACCGTTCTTGAACAACGGCAGGAGAGTCATCGAGCTGCCAAAACATGGTGGCAAGGACTATTCCGGTGACTGTTATGGTGCCTAATCAGATGGCGAACTTCGCCGGCATTAGTCTCGAGTTCGTTAACAATCGTTTGGATAATACCATCACTTTTATGTAAAACGGATTGGCGAATGATGGAACTGATAATGACTGGTTTGCACCACCACCGGAGGATTAATTGGTTTTGGGTTGTGGGCAGTGGGGGTGGGTGATGAAGAAAGGTGCTGGAGAAGAGAGTTAAAAGGATTAACTTTTCCCAAATGTAATACGGTGCCGTTTAGGAATTTTAATTTTAATTTTTATAGCTGAAAACGGGATACTAATGTGCCCCATCATTTTCTACTAAGGAGGTAACGGACAGAGATCGTATTATAAACGAATTAAAATTTTGATGATTATTATAAGTTTTAAAATTTAGGTGACCAAAATATAAATATCTTAAAAGTTTAGGGACTATTTATATATTTTACCCTTAAAATTAAATCAAATATTTATTTATTTAATCTCATTCTACATCAAATCAGTTTAAACTTGAATTTTTTTCCTATCTATTTAATTTAAATTAGAGAAAATAACCTCAGTGACCAAAAATGTCTTATAATATACGATTTTAACCAACTCTTTTTGGATTTGTCAAAATGACCAACTAAATCGTAATGCGATCGATAATTTCGCAACGCGATCTCCGGTATCGCAAATCAGTTTCCAAATTCGCAACGCGATTCTGACTATCGCATTACGATTTCCTAAATTCGCGTTGCGATTTTCCTAATTCGCATTGCGATTTACGTAATCGCAACGAGATTCTGACTATCGCAATACTGAATTTCAAATTCGCAACTCAATTTCTGAATTCGCAACAGGTTTTAATTTCGCAACACAAATGTTTTGGGTATAAATACGCAGCAGCAGCAACTCATAACCTAAATCCCTAAATCACAACTCATTCTATCTCTATCTATCACTCTCTCCGGCGGCATCCGTTCCTATATCCAACGACATCCTTCCCCATCCGGCAACAGGTTTTAGTTTCGCAACTCGTTTGTTTAGTAAATTAATTTACAATAATGAAATCATCTAATGTTGATCATGTTTGGATAGATTTGTGTTTTGGAGGGTCATGGGAGAATGTTCATGTTGTTTTACAATATATGCCTTTACCCATGAATCTTCAACTAAAACTGTCATTAGAAAAGTTAACTTATGAAACACTAATGTTACGTGTTGCAAATAAATTGAATTTAGAGCCCCTAAGTGGATCTAGGCTATCTTATCAGAGAAATGGTAAAGTTTATTTGTTAACCGACAATAAAGATGTTGAACAATTCATTGCTTACATTAGTGTTTCAAGTGATGATGTTACATTGTATGTTGTTGAACCTAGAAGTAGTGTGTCAGTAGCGAGTAGTAATCAACTAAGTTTTTCAACCCAGTTTATGGTGCTCAAAATTTAATGGTTCCACCATAATTCATCACCAAGCAATATTGTTCACCACATTTCCAATACCAAACACAATCTCAAAACCCACAACCTTTCCCTAATCCAAATCCCAATCAACTTTCAGCACCAAATTCCAGTTTTCGTATTGACCAGTTAGACGATGATGAGCCAACAAAAAAAATTGTGAGTACTAGTCAGTATTCAAAATTTGATCTTGGTCAATACCCGGACTTTGATCTTGGTCAATACTCGGATTTTGATGATTTTTCAGAAGAAGAAACAGACCCTGCGTGTAATGATTTTGATATTGGTCAATACCCAAATTTTGAAACAGCCATTGCCGAGGAAGATGTTGTTGATGATAATGAGGAGGAAGTTACGACTGTAAATGAACATGTTGAACATCCATTCTGTAATTCATATAACACTAAAGAAGAAAAAGAAGAAGAAGAAGAAATCCCCAAAGAAAAGTCCCCGAAGAAAATGCCACGGGAGTATAACTGGAATATGCCAGAATTACTTCAGATACCGGAAGAAGAGTTGGTAAAGATAGCAGTTGATTGTCACACAAAAATTATTCGTATCAAGAAAGATGATTGTTTTGATACAAAGGAAGACTTGAAGATAGCTTTGTATACGAAATGTGTGGAAGATGGCTATCAACTAAAAGTTAACAAATCAAGCAAAGATCGTTTTGAAACAAGGTGTATGATTGACAAAAATTGTATGTGGCGTATGATTGTAAAGAGGATAAAAGATTGCGAAATGTTTCAAGTTAGGACTTTTATTGATAAACATACATGTTCAAGAACCCAAGTTTTTCCTCACCATAGACAGCAAACAAAAAGGTGTTGGGTGGTTTTCTGGCTGAGTTAATGTTTTTGAATGGTAGGGTATATCGGGGACATGAAATTATGACTGACATGAATGCTCGGTTAAAGATTAGTATCTCATATTCTCAAGCTTGGAGAGCCAAATGTTATGCCTTGGAATTGTTGAGGGGGTCGCCAGAAGCATCGTTTGCCCAACTGCCGGCTTATTGTCACAATTTAAAGCTGAAAATCCTGGGTCGGTAACTCATATCAAACAGATAGAGATGGACGCTTTGAGTTGCTGTTTATCGCCATTGGTGCTGCGGTTAGTAAATCAATATAATTTTTTATTTTGTTAGTTACATGCATTTCACATTTAATGATTATATTTCTTGTGTATATGATTTTGTAGATTCGTTCGTTTATTAATTGCATGTGCCCAGTTATTATAGTTGACGGAGCACATTTAAAAGGTCGATACCTTGGAGTAAACTTATTAGCAGTAGCCATGGATGCTAACAATGGGATACTGCCAATAGCTTACGGGGTTGGAAAATCTGAAACCTCTGATTCATGGACATGGTTTTTGGGGCATCTTAGGGATTGCATAGGTCCTATTAGCAATCTGATAATCATATCCGATAGGGCAAACTCAATTGACAACGCTGTTAGAAGGTGTTTCCCATATTCTTTTCATGGACTTTGTGGTGTTCATTTGTATAGAAATCTAAAATCAAGGTCTGCTGGTATAAAAAATCACAAATGGACATACTGGAAGGCTGTAAAAGCTTATCGGGAAATAGATTTTAATAAGCATATAAAGTGTTTAAGACGTGTTTTGCCTCAGTGTGCTCAAACACTAGAAGATGTCGGGTTTGAAAGATGGTCAAGAGTACATCAACTTGGAGCAAGATATGGTTTCATGACGTCTAATAGTGCAGAATCAATCAACGCTCTAAGCTTGTCCATTGCCCAACGCAAATGATTCATCTCGTTGATTCTTCAAGTGAACGGCGTTAAAAGACGTCGGCATAATTGTATATCGTGTATTTCTTTTATTTTCCTTAAGTTTCCTAATTATTAGAAGACGTGACACCCACGCATCGATATATTGTTTTACAAAAAAAGACATATATTAGTAACTTACATAAATTTAAAAAAATAATCAAATTGAAATATAAGAAAAATATAAGCCTTACCCCTCCATCGAAATAGCCATTGTCTTCGACCCCTAATAATGCCCCACCAAGACCGATCAAGCAACAAATAGATATCATCGTTGAGCTTTCATATGTCAGTGAAACACCCCCGGCTCCGCTCATGTAGATAAAAATAAACTGCAGTCTTATCCCAAAGGGTGTTATCCAGAATTGTGTCCGGTAGTTGTCTCCTCTCCACTTCAGATACCGGTATGGTACTGGCCGGTAACTCATACGAGAGCCAACTTGAATCTATCATGTCCGGCACGTCAGAGGGTTTCTCAAGAATCTTATATATGACGCCATGTGAATCGGCTCTTGAATGGTGGGAGGGACCTCTTCAACGATGACAGTGGCCTCTTGAACGGTGGGAGGGGACTCTCGAGGAATGATAGGGGCCTCTTTAACGATAGGAGTGGACTCTTGAGGGATGACAGGCGAGTCGGGCTTCTTTTTGCGGTGTTTTCGCACTATTGGGGTGTACGGAGACTTAATAGCACGTGCACGCCGTCTGATGCGTGAACTCTATCGTGCAAGAAAAACCCGACGTAAAGCATCCACCTTATCGGGCCGCTAAATAATTAAATAAAAAAATCAGTAAATAAACAGACATGATATTTAAACAGTGAAAACAAAGACAAATATGTTTCAAACTTGCATTGAATTCACCCAAGTCATTATTCTATCATAGTTCACAAAATGCATCAAATAACAAAGGCAAATATGTTTCAAACTTGCAACACTGTCAACTTAGTATTTGTCTTTGTCTATTGGTTGAAGTAATGCAATTCATTCAAGTTTCAATTTGCAGAAGAAGAATAGTTTCTGGAACTTAAAATCGCAACGTGAAAAATGACTATCGCAACGCGAAATGAAAATCGCAACAAGAGAATGAAAATCACAACGCGAAACGAAAATCGCAACGAGAGAATCGCAACGCGATTATAGTTTCGCGTTGCGGTTTTTGGTTTCGCGTTGCGATTTTCATTTCGCGTTGCGATTTTCGTTTCGCGTTGCGATTTTCATTCTCTCGTTGCGATTTTCATTTCAACCAAAAGACAAAACAGTGTTACTAAAATATAGTTTCAAGAATAAACTATTTCTTCTTCTTATGCAAATTGAAACTTGAATGGATTGCATTACTTCAACCAAAAGACAAAACAAAGACAAATACTAACTTCAGAGTATTAAAGAATACACAGTTTAGCAGAATTGGCAGCAAACGAACAAATTTACTTTCAACCAAAAGACAAAACAAAGACAAATACTAACTTCACAGTGTTAAAGAATACACAGTTTAGCAGAATTGGCAGAAACCGAACAAATTTACTTTCAACCAAAAGACAAAACAAAGACAAATACTAACTTCACAGTGTTAAAGAATACACAGTTTAGCAGAATTGGCAGCAACCGACTAAATTTACTTCAACCAAAAGACAAAACAAAAGACAAATACTAACTTCACAGTGTTAATAAACAGTTTAGCAGTATTGGCAGCAACCGAATAAATTTACTAAGCAATCTAAGTGAAATGGTTAATCTAAGTGAAAT